AAACCTTTAAATATTATAGAATGTAAAAAATACATTTGTACCAAAGTTTTAATTTGTTTAAGCTAGTGTTTTTCCAATTAACTGTTATTTGGACTTCGTATAATAATACTCGGCTTCTTTGACTTTTTATCAATGTTTTTGATATAGGAAAATGAAAACAATATTTAACAATTTTTGAAAAAGGATAATGGAATCAGTAATGTATAATTATTAATCTTCATAAAAATAAGAACCTTTGTATTACTAAAATTTGATTTTTGTGCCTTCGATCATTTTTAACGTTTACATTTGTTTTAAAATATGTCCTGAGTCCTATCATATATTAAGTAATATTTTTCCTGTGTGCAGGCTTTAACGTTCGACTCGTCGTCGCCGTTCAAAGTGATTGCCACCCCATTAAAAAAACGGCTGCGCCTTCTAGTTGCTGTTGGTGTTGCTGTTGTTGCAGCCTTGGCTCCTGCCACGATCACTCAATAAGTCTAGACAAAATGTACCTGGTACCTGTGATTGTCGCTCCTCGATGGGGACGGAAGGAAGGGCGGGGGATAGCTGCCGTAATGGATCAGCACGTTGCCAGGTCCGCTGAGTTGAGTTGAGCTGCCTGCCAGCCTGTTGCCTTTCAGACGTCGTCTCTACGTCATCAGCAACAATAATAACAACAGCAGCATCACCAGCAACAACAACCGATATTTTTTGGGGAAGGGGAAGCCCCTTCAATCGTGAAAAAGCCAGCAACCATCATATTTGTTGCATGATTATGTGGTAATTGCGGCTGTCAATAAAACTCCCCCGTTTTATTCTTTACAACCGAAAGCATTCTACGCCTATATTTTCCTCGTGAATATGCACACACCGAGAAAAATTCTTGAAACTATGGGATTCAAGGCGAGGTCGTTAAAAAATAAATTTCATTACTTCTAACCATGTTATAGCTTAAGCTAACAAGAAATTCCGTAACAATTATATTACTTATTCATCAGCTTAAACAATATATTTCGATGGTGTTTTATTTTTTAATGTGGGATAATTAAACCATTATTTGAACAGGGGTTTTTAAAAGAAATATTATAAAGTCAACATAAAATTTCATCACAATAATAAACAAATTCAGCAATAAAACTGTAGGTTTTCCTGCGTGCATATAGACACGTATTTATTTATAGAGAGAAAGATGGATTCACGATGGGTTCCGTTCCCTACTATGATTTAGTTTGACAAAGGAGTGACATCCAAGTACTTAAGTGATTTCTTTACACCTTTTATGGAGTAGTTAATGCGGTATGCGCATAAGACTCACATTGAGCAAAGTCATGCCGGGTGCCCCTTGTGTCCAGTGCTCCTCCCCAGCTACCCCTTGAACCCAAAAACCACCGATACACTCTATCCCGATCCATGGCACCCACCAAACCACAAAACCCATACAAAGCCCAAGCACTTAGCGGCGTTTAGGCTGCGGCTTTTGTCTGCCTTGTTTTTTCACCCTGGGAAACGATCGAACGCATCCCAAAACGCAACTCCTGTTTCATAATCGGTTCGGGTTTTGTGAATCACTGGGCTCAGAGTTCAGTATGTAAATCTCAAGTGTGGCTACTCGATGTTTATTGTGGTTGGAAGTTAGGAACGCAGAATTATGTGGCACTTGTCTATCGTTTGGGATTTATATTTCCATTTCTTATTCATTCATTCACTATAGGATTTTATTTTAAATATATATTATTGAAAATCAGTAAAGTTTGTTTTTCAATTTGCCATTTTAAAATTTTAAAAAAGAATCAATAAAACTTTTCACCTGTTCCTACAATAAGCCAGAATGCAATTTTTAAAGTATTTTTTCAAAACAACAACTGCTTATTATTATTTTTTTGCTTTATAAATATTTTAGATACTTTAAATAATAGTAAAATCTTCCAGCTAATATTCATTAAATTTATATTTTAAAAGTAATTATTACAATTTTTAGTCGCTAAGTCGGGAGAAATTAAACCAAAAATAAAAAATACCAACGTATGTGACGAATTTTCAGCAGACATCGCATAAAATTCATTAATTAAAGTTAAATGAGACTAGTATTATTAAAAATCGGTATATGTGTTAGTCTTAGTTTTGAACAAGTTTTAAATGGAAATAAATAAAATTAGATGTTTATGACCCGAAGCATAAATAGTTTAGGGGAAACCTAAGTGCGCGAACATAAATCTCCCCCATCGAAGCTCATTTTGATAACTTTGTTTGCCTGGCTGGCTAACAATTTCCGTTCCATTTGTGCAACTGTTAGCCCAATTGCAGACCCCCGGGCCAGTTTCTCGGCACAGTGGGCGTGTTATGCTTGTTACTCGCAGATTGCGGCAATTGCATCCAAAAGTGAGGCCCGCGACTGAGTTTTCAACGCTTCATCGCCAGTTATCGGGCCATGCCCCAATCCAGTTCGAGCGTTTAGTCTCCGACTGTCTAGGTGTTAAATATCGAGAGGCCCGGCCACCAGCTTCCTTCCTTTCCACAGCCATACTGCCACACTGCCATTTGCCATACCATACTGGCATATATATCTGCCGCGATGCTGTGGCATCCATCTGGGAGTTCCAGCGCCGTGGAGACATTTATCGCGCGTTGGTGTTGGCTCTATCGGGGCGATGTGTTGTTGTAGGTGCGGAAAGTGGTCCACACGAGATTAGGGTGTAGCTATCAAGTCGTCTTGCTGTTCCGCCTGCGACTCCCCGGCGAGTGGGTAGCAAATAAAAGCGCCAAAACACTTAATGCATTTGGAGCAGATACACACTGAGGGAGAAAATGCACACACAAAAATGCAGTAAAATCCATTTAATGGGTCTTAAATTTAAATTTTGCTAATTTTGTTGTTAAACTATTATTTTTATATTCCTTTTTATTTTGGTTAGCCATTAGTTTAGTAATGGTTGTAAAGGATTTAACATTTTATGCTGAACAATAATTGTTTGTATAGTTGATTGCATGATTTATAGGCTTGAAAGTTAAAATTTGGCGAAAGTATTAGGAACATTCGGAACGAATGAAGTCGAAAATATTAGAAGGCTTTCCTTTCACGCAACAAAATCATGCTTGTTTTTATTATTTTGACCAAAGGATAATTATGATGTTTCAATTTTAATTAAGCTTTTCCAGTGTAGAGACTCACAGCACCCCGGTTCCAAATAGCCCGTAAATGGAGCTCGAAGAGTTAAGATTGGTAGCCTGGGTGCGTCTTCCTCATCACCGTCATCGTCATCTTCGTCTTCGACTCCGACTTCGACTTGAGCGTCTGGCTCCGACTGTGTTGAGCTTGTTAGCAAAAAGGCAAAAAATGAAACGGTCGCTGCTGGGTGTTGGCCAATCTTTAAAGATCAAACAATAAACTTAAAGATCTGCTGGGTTTCTCTCCCCTCCTTTTCTCGCCTTCGACATGCAAATTGTGCAGCCGAAGAAGTGTCAAACAATGTCAGTGGGAGAATGTGTCTCGCAATTGAAATTTATTTGCACTACAATTCACTGCTGACAATGCGAGGAGGCATTGGGATGTACTACCTTACTTAGCCCGCTTTCCCTCCCACCGAACACCCAGTCCCCTTTTCCCCCTTGTTCCGCCCATGTCTCCGGGCCCCCTGCCCCCGGAAAACCCTCTGCCCAAAAGTCACAGTCGGAGCTAGCGATCTCTAACCCGTCAACTCGTCAAGCTGTGAGCGTCAATCCACAACAAAGTCAACGACGAAGACGACGGCCAAGCCTGCCTTGAGGATTACACTGGAAAAATGTGGTGGCTATTATGTTAATTACAAGAACAGTATTAACAAAAGTTTCCCCTTAATAAAAAAAACATTTTGGTAAATAAAGACAAATATAGTAAGAAACTTTATACTCTTAATATATCCAACATTAAATTAGAAAAATTTTTTTTACAAAGATTCCTTTTAATCAAGCTATGACAAATAATTTAATCCAATAAAAAAATATTGTATTTTAATTTTTATTATTTATGGTGACATACTTTTAAAAATATTTAAGTTGTTTAAACTTCAATGCAATTAAAATCAAAAGGTTTTCAATATCGTTTAATTTATAGGTCTAATTTTAGTTTAAGTCAATTTGGCACGAATATTATAATTATGGAGCTCAAAAAACATTTTAGTTTTAGTGATAGCTGTTTATTGAATGGTTACAATTTTACTTTATATCCATTTGTTGTAATATTGATTTAAATAAACCAACTTGCGAATCCAAACATATTTCTTTGGTGCTTTTCTAGTCCCTGGCTTTGGTCAGCGACTTTTCTCTCAGTGATTGATTGAGGCTCAGCCTCATTCATGAGCCCAGGGCCCAGAAGGCAGGCAGCGGCATCGAGCGGCAGCGTTTTGTCGCCCGAATCGCTCACAGCTTCTGTGCTGTGATTTTGCCAATTGGCAATTGCCTCCTCCGGTGCCGTGAGCATTTGCAAAATGTCAATCTGGTGCTGTGCATCAATTCAAGTGTGAAATAAATAGAAACGAATCCAGGTCCCAAAGTCTAGCATTTTGCTATAATTTTCGCGCCATTTGCTGTCGACTTTACCGTCTGTCAGTCGGCCGTCTGACTTTTTGCCGACCGTTCGGTGAAGAAAGAGGAGCTATGCTGAAAGTATTTACAATTACGCAAAGATTGATTGAAATAGATTTCGGATTGATTGGCTGCTGGTATGCACATCGCTCGGAGTTCTTTTTCGCAATGGTGGGAATCGCAGGTTGTGTGAAAGAGGTTAAGGAGGTTAAGAGCTCCGGCTCCACGGCGATGGGATAATTTCTAATTAAGCCGCTGTGTCCGCCGCCGCAAGGAGATACATTTTATGCGACACATTTATCCAGCAGATACTTTTTATTGATTGCCATCGGCTAAAGCAGCGCCGCAGGAGTCTGAGAAATCAGCTTTCTCCGGCGATCTCGTAGATCGTGGTGCTCCAAGCGAGAGCAAGACCAAGCCCAATCAATAAAAGAAACTCTTGTTCATCTAAATATTTATTTGTATTTATTTGTGGTGACAGCAATAATAATTTTCTTGATCATCATTTCGGCCGATTTGCATACCAAATCATCACACGAAAAGGAAAAATACTTATGCAACATTAATACTAATAATTTATGCTATTTGCTATACAACTTTGTGCGCTTTGCTTTACATTTACATTCATGGATATTCGTACATTTAAAATTTGCTAATTGTGACTAATAACTCGAGGGAACCTCAAAACGAGTAGGCTTACGCGAAATTTGTCTACCAGCGGTGTTTCTATAGAACGATTAATGTTTTTTAAACTAACAAATACTCTTGGGGGATTGGAAATGTCTAAGTAGTAGCTAGTCATTTAATATTAAGCTTTTTATATGGTTTATAGCTTAGAAGAAAACGAAACTTAAAGATTACAAATTCCACTACGATATTATGCATACACGATACAGATAAGCTGCCCTTTTTGCATATTTTGCTACAGTTTCTTCTCTTTTATCATTTGTTTAGCTTTTCTTTTATTTATTTTTGTGTTAACTTTAGGTTTCTGAACTTGTATTCTTGCCGCTTTGTAGACGACCGAGAAATTTGTTTATAATTCACTGCATAAATTATCAAAAAGATAACATTTGTGTTATACTTTTCGGTCCCAATATGCAAATACCTCATCGGGGGCCGCTCGACTTTTGCATATTTTGGCAATTTGGTTAGTTGTTTTAAACGATGTGATAACATCTAACCAAAACGGCACGAACTCGTATTTAGCGCTTGTTAATCAGAGTCAAACTTTTCTGCCCCCAAAGAGTCCATTTCATGTTTCGTATTATTTATATAACTCACATGCGTTTATTGTTTCGCATATTTTGTATTTGTTTGTTTACTTTGTGTTTTTGGTGGTGTCTTAGCGGGGGGCCAATTTTCTATTGCCTCAATCGATCTCCGGTGGCTGATAACTGTCATTTGGAAAATGTGTTCAGACCTTAGTGGTCAGATCCAAGGCATTCGAGATGGCCACCTTAACGGGGGCTTCCAGCCTCAGACGTTTGCCATTCTCACTGGAGGCTTCTATGAGTTCGTCTAGTTTCCTTTTGATCGTTTCACTGGCCTCGCTATCGCTTAGGATACTATTGTTGTTATTATTATTGTTATTGTTGTTGCTGATACTGTTGTTGTTGTTGTGGGTCTTCTCAATGCTGGTCTTCACTGTCTCCGTGGTGCTGTTGTCCTCCTCCTCCCGTGCCCCCTCCTCTTCATCGGAAATCTCCTCTTCAGGCGTTACTTTCAGATCCTCACCATCATCATCGTCCTCTGTATCGTTTTTCTCTAGATCGCTGGTAATCTCGGGCTCTGTTTCGATTTCAGGGCTACTACTCTTGCTGCTTAGCGAACTTCCCGTGGTTTTCATGCTCAGATCAATGGGATTATCTTGACCGGGACTGGGATTTGGATCCTCTGCGGCTGGGGTTTCCGCTTCCTGTTGAGCGGGTGAGTGAGGAGGCGTCATGGAGACCACCAGATCCTCCTCTTCTTCATCATCTACAGCATTGTCTAGTATTTCCTCCACCCTCGCCTCGTCATCTTCTTCGTTTTGGCCATTACTCTGCCGGCTTTTCACTCTTTCCCGGCCACTCTCCGAATTCGGTGTGACCAGAGCTGAAATTGAATAATCCTGCTTGGAGTGTGGCGGTAGTTTTGTTGTCGGCGGTGGACTTTGCTGTTGCGATTTGAGCACTGCATCCAAATAGAAACGTTTGGTTAGCTCATCGGCTGCACCACCGTTTGTGAGAAGGTGGTTATTGTTGGCGTGGTTACTTGGACTTCTGGGTGGTGCGGGTTGCTCTTCTTCCTTGTGGTGCTGCTGGTGGTTGGCAAATGGTGAATTGCCAGGGGCAAATCGCTGGGCTGCTCCGCTCGAATTGAAGAGATGCTGCACTGCCGCCGCAGCCACCGCCGCTTGTTGTTGCTCCGGCGTGGGTTTCAGCAGACCCTGGTGGTGCGAGTACAAGGCGGGATGGTAGCCGGGAAAGAGCAGGTGCGAGGGCGGCAGAAATGCAGGTGGGGGCATTACGGGCATGGAAGTGAGTCCTGTGAAAGGTAGCGGCAGGAATGGCGACAAGTCCTTGCGCATCTGTGGTGGTCTGCCGGGCACCACTCCCCCTCCGCCCGACTGACTGCCATCGGCACCGCTCGAAGATCCTCCCGAACTGGATTTTCCGCCCAAATGGAGCAGGGGATTTCCCCGCACCGAACTCACCTCCACGGAACTGTCAGAGTTGTGGGAGTCCGGGGAACTCACCGAGGGTGAGGCTACCACCGGATGCTTATGCGATCCGTATTCCCCGCTGCTCTCCAATCCCAGCATCATCAGCTCCTCCTTGCTCCGCACCGAGCCACCGGCATTGGCGACGGCATAGAGTCCCGGATAGCCACCCGGATGACCCAGCATTCCCAGGGCGGCTGCCGCAGCCGAGGACGGGGGCACTCCCGACATGCCCTTGACCCCGTTGGGCATACCTCCCCCACCGCCCGAGCCACCGGAACCCCCTCCACCCGCCTGTTGGCTGTTGTGGTGCGCCGCCATCGCTGCCACCGCCTGTTGCTGCTGCTCCTGCAGCAGGCAGTGGATCTTGAACCAGTTGGAGCGGCGACCATAGCGGGATCCACTCTTCGACATGCCCACCATGAGGCACTTCTTCAGGCGACACGCCTTGCAGGCGGTGCGGTTCTTCTTGTTGATGATGCACTCGCCGTTGTTCTTGCAGTCCGATATCGACGACAGATTGTTGTACGACCGACCGAAGAAGGACTGAAATTGGAAGAGAAAAATAATATTTAATCTTTCGATTATAATTTAGGTAGTCAAAAATAAAACTTTTCAGGACCAATTATACATATAAAAGCTTCGTTTAAACTTAAGCTTCTTCTATGTACATGTATTAATACAAATAAATTATCCGAATTTTTACTTAGCCATATAATTAATATTCTTCAAATGAGGTAGCTAATGATAAAAAGTCATGGCTAAAAAAACTTAAATACATAAACATAATTAATTTTCCAAAAATTAAGACCAAGTATAAATTAGACAATATTTTAGTTAATGTTAATCTCCTAAATAACTGTTTGTGATGTTATCTTAGTAGATACATAAAATATAATTGCTTTTTGCCTTTTATTCAGACTTGCATAGTGAATTACAATTATGAAGTGTATTTCAGACTTAAACCACTCCAGATCTTTCTTCTTCAACCTCAACCAAATCGAGCTTCTTCAGAAACTTCTTTCATCACAGTCCATGATGTCATTCAATAAAACGCTTTCAATGCTCGACAATAATATCTCATTATATTTTTGTGATGATTCATCGGCTGGCGGGGCAGCTGAGACCCAGACCTCTTTAAACGCTCTGCCAAAAAAGCGGAGAGCCGCGAAAAAAAAAGAAATAAAGCAAATCGACATGCACAAGCGGCAACCACCTACACCTCCGGCATTAACCGTTGGCTGGGGCACCACAATCAATTGCAACAAAGCAAACAAACAATTTAATTCAATGCGGAGGAGCCATGAAAAGCTGAGAGCCAAAAGCTGAGAAAGAAACAAAAAGCCCCGGACAGACGGCAACATGTTGCTGCTGCTGCTGCTGTTGCTGCCGCTGCCGCATGTTGCAAAGGTTATGGCTGTGCAACACTTATGCCAAGTTGCAATGTTGGCAGTAAATCACCAACGCTTCACGGCCTGCCCGCCTGCCTGGCTTTGCAATCAACCAAAAGGGACAGACTGCCTAAATGACTGACTGAATGAATACACTCGGAAAAGCGTGTCACATTTTTTGTTACTTTTCCATTCAGTTTTCGAGGGCTTACACTTTTCCGATCGCTAAGTCTACTAGATTTGGTTGAAGAGTCTGAAGATTGATAGTTAAAGGGAAATTTAAATTAAAAAATATTTCATAGACAGTACTTCTGACTACTTAGTTAAAAAATATAAACAATTTCTTTCATGCTTTTAATCATTATTTTCTATCCTTCACAATGAAGAGTATAAATTTAATAACATCTAGGTTTTGACAGCCTATACATTAATTTTGATTAAATTTTTTTTTAATAAAGAAATAATGTATTACCATTCAGAAAGAACATTTTACTCTTTTTGTTTCAAAGAACTTATTTTTCCAAATCTGACGTATAGTTTTGGCCAAGTGTAACTGGCTTACTCTCTGCCTGTTTGTCAGTATTCAAGTTGGTTGCCGTCGTTTTCTGATCGTAGGTGGAGCTTTTGAATGGAAGAAACACCGGTGCTGAGATGCTGACGACGAAGCGCAAAATTGAACCGAGACAGAAACAAAAACAGCAAAAGAAGCAGAAACAATGCGAAAATCCACTTTTAAGGTTAATTGGGCATCAAGATTACTGGGTCGGAAATGGAAATGGAAACGGAGGATTTCAGGCCCGTTCTTCTTCGTCTTCATCGTCTTCAGTTTTCTGTTTTCAGTTTCGTTTCAAGAAGCAAAACGGCAGACGGACGGACGACTATTTACAAGCAATTTTGTGCATCAAGGCAGATTCACTTTTGTTTGTTTGTTTTTTCTTGGGCCTCTTTACTCTTTTTTTTGTGTCTTCTTGTGGGCGTTAAATTAGCCAAGCGAGGCCCACGCCATTGCGAACGAGGCCCAAGCACAAATCAAATAACGCTGACCCACAAATTGTACGTTAGTTGACCTTTTCTCCTTGGCGTGGGCAAAAATAAAAGAAAAACGACAACGAAAAAATCAAACAAAAAAATAAATAAATAACAAAATCAAATCCCTCGACTGAACTCGAATCGAGTCGGCGAAGAAACGAAACGGAACGAACAAAAAATGATCATCCCACCATTAAAGGAGTATTCGTATTTAAATCAATTATTTGTGGGGCGCTTTGTTTAACTTTGACCTTAGCCTGGGGCATCCATTTGTTGCTGCTACTCCCCCTCCTTTATGATGAACTCAACATTCCAGTTTCGCAGAGAATGGCCTCATAACTTTTTCTGCTTAGTGTTTGCATCACGAAGGCGGCGAATTCGATTTATTGAAATCGATTGAATCGATTGATACGAACGACTTTAAGGTAAAAGGAATGCAAAGTTTAAAAGTGTTTGTTGCTACGGTAACGTTGTGTCCAAAATGCGAAGAAATTATAACTGGCCCAACTTAAATGCTACAGTCCATCACCACATTAAAAATGTTTGTTACTTAAAAAGCCTCGCTTTTAATGAAAACGCTCATATATATGTAAAATTTTAAAATTTCTTGCACTTACGTAATATTACTAAAATGGAAATCAATAGCAAACTGTTTTGACATCAATGTGATTAAATGACACTTTTTATTATCAAGCTTTACTTGGTATACATTTGAATAACATATACTTAGAATTTGACTCTATGCTAAAACTGACACTATATGAAGTTTTACTTAGAGCCTTCTTTTATAAGAGATTTTTTCGATTATTAAGACTTGAAAAAGCTTCTTTGGCAAGTGTTATTGTATCGAGTACCCACGGTAAGGACTATTAGATATTCCAGGCTAGATAAAATCGCTGCGTCCACCAAATCAAATTCAAATTAATTCGAACATCGAACTCACCTTGCAGCCCTCGCATGTGAAGGCTCCGAAATGGAATCCAGCCGCCGGCTCTCCACACACCTTGCACGTCTGATTCATCTGCAATGGGAACGAACAGAACAGAAGACTTGAGAATGGGATTGTACACTTTTTGGGGGGATTTCTAACTCCCTCGGCACCCAACTCCCCACCCACCTCACTGAAACTGAGGCAATAAATTCATAAAATTTCAATTAAAAGCAACAGCAAATCATGACACGAGCATCTGGAGCTCTCCATCTCGTTTCGAGTACCCCAAAGAGAATTGGAAAACCAGCCGCCAGCGAAATTCACACGCATTAAAAATTAAAATGCAAACATAGTTTGTCATATCGCGAAATTGGTATCAACGAAAGAAAAAGAGCACGGCTTAAAACGAAAAGCGAAAAACGAACGACGACAAATGGAAATGGGAAACGGGCCCAAAGGAGCCCCCAACAAATGGCCAACAAAGCCCGACCATGAACTCCCTACACAGGAAGAAATTTTAGGACGCATTTAATTTTTCTTACGTCAAGATAAGCATGATATTCATTGATAAGTAATTATATTTTTATATGCCATAGGTTACGATTCAAACATATGTTAAAAAGGGTATGTTTTTATGTCGGTATTGTATTATATAAGCCCAAATAACCCTATTTATTTCCTGTGTAAATGGCCAATTGCCTCTTCTGGGGCCCATAATAAAATATGAAGATGGAATCAAATGAAAAATTGCCTCAGAGCACACACACACACTCTGAGCAAACAAGCAGCATTTGCATTTATATGGCAAACTCTGTACCTTCCCCTTTTTCGCCCCCTCGCAAATAGGCGCAACTTGTAGCTGAGGGAATATTTGTTTATTTATTGCGAGCGAAATGTTTATCAACAAATTGCCATCAATTGTTGTTTGGGTGCCCGGCCAGGAGTTGGCTTTTTGGGTTCCCCTTGTTTTCCATAGTCAGGTTGAAAATGGGGCTGGGGATCAGACAGAGTTGCGTTTTTCTTATTGCCACTTGTAGCTGGAACTGGAGCAAAAACTCAGATGACACGCGCACATGCAAGGAGGGGAAAATGTGGCAAGGAGTGGGAGGTGGGTTTCATGGAAAAGTGATCGTGGGAGACTTTTTGATGTTTTTTGGCAGTTTACAAAAAACTTAATAAAACATGTTTATAATAATAAAATCAAAATAATATGCTTTTAGCGAACATTTAAAGGGTTTTTTTGTTTAATAAGAAACTGTTAATTAAAGCCATTACTTATAAAAAGCTCTTTCAAGTTTTGAACTGAAAAATCGACCAAATTTCACTGTTGTTTATATAGGCATTTTATAATACAACTTTATTACACAACTTAAACATTTTGGCAGTTCTTAGAAAAGAAAATGATTCTTACTGGAAACGGTTTGTACTAATATACGTTTCCAATAGTGATATCTTATCGGATAAATGGGTATAGGACTGTCTTCTAATGGGAACATGACAAATGGTTTTGAAACAGATATTTCTAGCCAACAAAATGTTATCGTTGATATTTTATTTTACGTACATGTAATAAAATGAGTTCCTATTCATTCAAATTAATGCTTTGAGCCCAGGCCAATTGAAATGCCTTCAAATATATCAAACTAACTGGAAATTGACTGCCCAACTAGTAGCCAATGGCCCAACCGCAGTCCATATCAGACTCATCCTCGAGCCAAAAGTTGGCCACCTTTTCCGAAGGCTTTTGTTATGTTTTATAGCACCAATTGCCCGACGGGCGATTCTCGGCCATAACTCTTGCAGGCCACAAACAATTTGGCACATTACAAAGTAGGAGAAAGCACTCAACACATTCACTTTTTTTATTCGCTTCTCCTGGATCGACCGTCCAATAAGCAAATCCCCGAGGAGGGGGTCTTATAAGAATACCATGCCAATTGGCTTAGTTCGTTCAGGTCTGCGTTCCTTATTTTTCCAGCGGTTGTTGTTATTGTAGGTGCCTTGTTTGACTGTAAAACATGCTAATCTGATTTCGTGTTATGTGTTGAGTTGGAGGTGAGTTTTGGCCCGAGTTTGGGTCTGGGCCCCCTCGACTTGGGCTGGAAATAAATTTCCTACGTTTAGGTTTCATAAAGCGTCGTCGGGTCTGGTCGTCGCTGCCTGCCGGCCTGCCTGGGATTAATCGACAAATAAAAATCACATAAAATAAATTAAAAATTATGAGTTTCAAGTTTCAACAACCTGCGGATTGGCAGCAGATTTAGTTTGATTTTAAATCACTGCCAGCCAGAAAGAGAGAGGAAGGCCCAAACACGTTGCAGATGAGCTTCGCCGTGAAATTTATGCAGACAATGTGCAATATTAAAAAGCCATAAACATTTATTTTACAACAGACAAGCGACACATTCTTACCAAGGCTCTGGGATAAAGTTGTATTGGGGGAATCGAAGTTATGGCAAAGCATTTCTATGGTTTAACAAGCCCAGAACTAATGTTCTTACTATGTCTTCCTAAGTCATTTGTTTGCTGTCACTCTTGAATTTAAGCCAAGTGCCCCTTTTTGATTTGTGAGTTCATTTTTATTTGCCTAATAAAAAAAGCTGAAAATAAAATTGTATAATTAGCCTGAAGCCTTAGAGGGCAGTTTAATCATTTTTCAACATTTTTATAATATATTTTATTTATTACGAGAATATTACTCCTTTACAATTGTAATTTTATATCGTTTCGTTATTAGGTATAATTTTTTATTGGGCATTAATTATAAAAAGTGTTTTATCGATACCTAACTCTGAGTGTAGAATCAAATTACATAGATAGTTTCACTTGAAATCTTTTTATTAACACAATTACCTAGAAGAACTGATTATTAATTCTGCTTTCGTGATTATTGTATTCTCCTTAATCAACCCTCTGAACTCAAACCCGTTTTAATATCTTTGTTCACAGCGAAAATACGTTTGTAGTATATTGCGTAATTTGCGTAAAACAACGCTGCCCCATAACATTTAAAGGCACAATTAGCTGGGATATTAAGTGAAAGTGTTATAAATTAGATAAAAGAGCGACAAATGTGCCGGCAAAAACAACAGCATCGTCTGAAAGATTTTAACTAAATACACATAATATTAATAACCTTTTTCTTTGTCAAGCAATTTGTTTTTTTGCGCGACTAACAAAATATTTGTCTGTGCGCAGGTTATTGATGGGATACGAATATTGATGAGATTTTTCGAATGCACAATGTCAATTTATTTTAATTAGTTGGTATATTTTCCAAAAATAAAATTCCCCCAGTTCCTCAGAAGTGCAACAAGTTGATCCAAGACAAATAGACGCCAGAAAAAATAAATACCTGCAAAAACTCCACCAGTCATCATCCACAATAGTGGATGCTGTTGATTTTGTGTGTGATTAATTATGGCGATTGCTGTTCTGTTTGTTGTTTGATGTTGTTTGGTTGTTAACCTTAACGCGCAGCAAAAATAGCAAGTAGAATTTATAATTTTTCATGCCACGATGATGCAATGAAAAAAGTTATATATATAATAATAAGATGCTTTGTTATATGGCTTATTAAGCTTGGCAAATAAAAGAAGCGACCGCAAAAAAAAAATATAAAATTATTAAAATTCATTTAAGGCACGTTTACTCCAGTTTTGAGCTCGGCTTGCCTCGCCTGAAGCTGTTAAGAGCTAAGTGCCATTAAGACCAAGTCCAAGCTCGGCTTTAGTTTCTGCTTATTTTCATTTTGCTTCCCTCGCTTCTTTTTGGCAGGCAAAAAAATTATGATAATTGCCTGACCTTGGCTGGCATGTACTAATACTAATTCAAATTTGCACATCCAGTGCGCAGATCGGATCCCCCCCCCCCGCCCCTGCCCAACATGGTTCGCATGCAATTATAAAAAAGCGCAGGCTAGAGGCAAAAACATAATTTAATTAAAATGAAATCATGCACACAAAGCAATTGCCTCGCTTTGTTCATTGTGCGCTGCGGCAAATTGTTCTAGTTTTTAACTTTTTTTCGCCTTTTTCGCTTTTTTAGATTTTGCGTTATAAACATTCATGACTCGTCGACACTGAAGACGGTCGTTTGTGGCGTCGTGTGTGTTGGTGTTGCCTGTTGTCAGTGATGAGCGGATAAAAAATGTATAAACAAATGCGGTCTGCTCGGTGCGATTAGCTCAAGACTGCACCTATTCAGACTTTAACAGTAGTGGGAAAATATCTGGCAACTAGCAAAAGGCGAGTGCAGCTGGCTTTTCTATTAATATTCTCATTTCTAAAGCACTAGAATAGAATTTTATGGATCTGTATATTGCCACTCATTAGAAGATATTAAAAGAACACCTTAGCATAAGCTCGATATTTAATAGTAATTTTTTATGAGTACTAGCCATGGGGTTTCGCTTGTTTGCATCCAATGTTATGAAAATACCTCCGGCAACAAGACGCACTTTTTATGGTCAATTCTTAATAGGAGTTACATCAGGTGTTCCTTGAATTTTTATTGATAATATAACTAAAACCAATTTACCCCTTTAAAGATTTCACAGAGATGGTGCTATTTAAATCGAATTAATATGCTAAGAGATGTGCCTAACAAGTCTTGATTTAATTGAATTCGTTTATAATTCAATTTAATAAAATATTTATGGGGTAAATGCATACACTCCCACAGGGCTCAAACAATGACTTTTATTCGCATTAATCTAAATCGATTACACTTTCCTATTGCAAACTAGTCCGATCAACTTCTGAAGGCAGCTGCAAAGTAAATAGAAGACCGCTCTAGTCGCAGCATCTATTCCAACCCCAGCCAATCAGATGAGTCATGTCGGCGATGCAAACTCGTTTATTCCCCAGTCGATCTGCAGAAGAGCAGCGAAATTTGTCAAAATGGTTATATCGCATGTTTGATATGTTTTTTCTGGCTTTCATTTCTTTCTTCTCCTTTTTTCTGCCGCATTACAAATACTTGAGGCGGTGGAGAGTCAGCTGCACACACGCATTTCTTTCGCTTTTCCTGACCCAGCACCAGCACTCCTCTTTGCTTAGTCACGCGGCCTTTATGCTTAGGCAATTTGT